CCTCTATACGAGCATTCAGTTGTGATTTATGGACAGCTGGAAACCGAAAAAACTCCGGACCCATGTGGAAGCTGAACCTTAGTTTTTGGTTACTTGTAGAAATAATACCCTCGGCTGGATGACTTGAAATCAGGAAGCGAGACAGTTAAAAATCGTTTTGTGAGGGGCTGGAACTGCGTAGTGTGAAGTGATGGATGGTTTTCTTCCTGACTTTTAACATCCTCAGTTTCGGTTCCTCTTTCTGGGTCGGTGGGTGATTGATTCCCCTACGAACACAACACATCATTGATCTCCTTATATCCATAAAATGGAGGCCAAAAATAAGTTGATATACTAGCAAATTTGTATGTATGACTGCCTGTATGTAAGTCGTATTTTCTTGGTGTAGACGAGCCGGACTGCTTTGTTGGTCCGATTGCTCACCAAAACGAACTTGTATCAATCTCAAGTCCTGTTGTCTTTCCTCAAATGCGAACTGAGGCCGAAGTCTTCAGTCAGCATCGGTGATGACCATTACACAAGTGGCTACATGTAAAACTTTGATACACCATGAATTGAAAGGCAAATTAAACTCTTAGCCCAAGAGTTTGTGCAATGTCCCAGCTTAGGAAAATTTTACAAGAACATGAGTACATTAGATGTATCTTCTTGAAATATAGATGTAAAGATGTGCTTGGAAGTGCATAGGAATTGGAGGATGTTTACAATCTAGAGCTGGAGAGGGTCGATGAAATGCCGTTGGATCCTGTCTTTGTTGCCGCGGCTGAATGTGTACAGGTCGCCCTTGTCACGGAACAACATGGTCATGCTCTTGGTGAGGTTAGCGACCCGGTTCACAAACGGGAGAAGCGCACGACGGTCGTCAAATCGTGCTCGATTGGTAGTTTTCCATGCCTCTTCGACAAAAATTTCCAGCACAGCGATAGCTACCTCGCTCGTGACATGATGTTGGTTGATATAGCTCTCCAGGGAGCTGGCAACATCCAGCTTGTTCTTGCCATGCTGTGAGCAAGTACACATTTAATAATAGGTTACCTAGTCTGTCAGTTTACCATATAAGACACAACTGCATATAATCAAGGCTCTATACCTTAAATGCAGCCAAATCGTCCATGAAACGTGTCACCTCGCCGCAAGCCTTTACAATGTCAGGGTACCCAAGGGCCCACTTGAATGCTTCATCAGTCGCCTCATCGCCCATACCAACAAGTGAGCCGATGACCAAGGATGGAGTACCAGCAGAGATGACCGAGCACTTCACGTGGTCTTCAAAGCTTGGGATGTGGCTGCTATGGAACCATTCGGATTCCTGCTGGTAATGCTTGCACAGCGTTTGGAACTGCATGCATGCATTTTAGACTAATGAATATGGTTTTGAACTTTTTGATTGTAGGGATGCAGATGGATAGATACATACTGCTTTCCGACAGTGAACAATGCGGTACTTGCGATCTTGTTTCAGCTCGTTCTCAAACTCACTAAAGGTTTTCATTAACTTGACATAGTACCTCTTCAAGTACTCCGGTAAAAGAGTAATAGCACTGTCATCCCATCTGCAGGTATGACTAGTTAGTTTTGCCATTGCCGACATGCATCATAGACACAATACTCGCCACATTTTGAAAACTAAGTTGTATTCTATTCCTTTAAGATGAGATTTTTTTACTAGTAATTTCTCTATTAATATGCAGTTTATATGAAACAAAATTTGAATCATAAGTTCTGTTATAGGACTAATTAATCTATCAAAATCGGTATTATATAATTTGCACCACATATTAATGAAGTAGTTGTTAGTCAAAGCCTTGTCTTGATAAATCAAAATGCGCCTTATCTTTTCAGATGGAGGGGATATATAATACTACGAGGGGATTTTCTCAGGAGATCATTGCTGACATTTGTATGGCTTCATTGAGCTTCCGACCCTCTTCCAATGTAGCATGCATGTCGAAAGTATCATCCAGTAGGGATGATAGCGCGAATAACTTGGCAAGAATTAGTCGTGCATGTCCATAGTGTTGCTCATAGTGCACAGTGTAGGACCAGAAGTAGCATTCAACTATACGATTCCGAGAGTAGCTTAGCCCCACATCTTCATATAGATCGTTTCCCCACCTAAGATAAGCATAAGGGAACTGCTAAGTTATCACAATGAAAAACTATTAGAGCTAATATAGATATAACTAAGTCTATGCCCAAGCAAGATAGAGCTCATACCGACAAAAAGCCTTGAGCTCCCGTTGGTGAAGACACTGCAGAAGATTAAAGTCAAGCTTTGCAAGCTCTAGTACAGAGGGGTTGCATGCTTGGTCATGCTTGTACTCTGCAATATAATATGGTGCGTCTATTCTGTTCAATGTTCTTGGTAATGGTATCTCGAGGTTTCGTTTCACTTGCTCGGATAAAGGGTACTTAAGACTACCCCTCATAGATTCAAGATGTTGTCTTGCAAAACATATGGCATTATCAAGTTCCGGTTCACCATGGATTGCAAGGTAAGCAGCATTGTATAAACATAACAACCCCCTTGGTTCACTAGTAATTGTATCCATGTTGAAGCTTCCATCTTTGCCCTGGAATTGATTGAAAATGTCTGCAAGACGGAGTGGCATATGTTATAAGCTTATTTGTATTAGCTCTTCATTATTCAAATATCAGAATTGCTCTGCATACAACACTTTCTTTACGACATTCGTATGATAGTCAAACAGACACAAGGTGCTGGCCAACTGAGTTGGATGGTGCAGATTGTGCGTCGAACACATACCGGGCCAAACACATCGTACATATAGCATGACTGTTCATATATGAATCCTCTATGTATTTTGTGGGGTAGTGCAATAATTCTTACACACACTAATCATAAAACACATGCCTAAACAGTTAAAATAACAACTAGTATATTGGAAGTGTGAGGATATCCCAAATAGCTATAGCACAACAACTATTTGGATGACGGGCCATTACATTTGGGATGATGTTGTTTCATGCAGCATGTAGTCCTCAATGAATGCAAAAGCTATTAGACATGATATATTCAGTCGTTTGGATAATGTTTTTTCACTAGTGCCAATAAATAACTTGGGCCATACGAGTATGTAAATATTCTTTTGTGTGGTGAATCAGAACCCAATTTATTGATAGTATCCCGTATTACGTCCAACTCTAAATGTGTAAATAATTCAGATAACATATGGATTAACAACATATATAGCTCGCATGGAACCTTAAATTGGCAGCATAGTAAATAGATGAGACATATATACCTGGAGATACCCAACATCCATGCTCTCTAAGCAAACGGAAGTGAAGAGCAACCTCATAGAGGCAATCACTATTGAATTCGCTCTTGTGGATTTCATCTATCACCGTGTTAATCTGTTCTTGAAAGAGGTGATCTATTCCGAGATGCTGGAGTGCATCCAGTAAAGTCATTTTCTCAACCACGCTACCTTTGGACGTCTTAAGCAACTTGTGTATGTCCTCCTTCAGTTTGTCCGCTTTCACTCTCATGCACTTTTCTGATATCTGCACGCATGCAAAGTTGTTTTATGATTAACCAAATGACAACTGCATACTCAAAGTTTACTTATCATTTTATTCCAAATTTTATGATGTCTTTTTAACATGCTTTATTATTTGCAGTTTTTACTTAATAGTCCCTTCCTTCCGATTCAAAGGACCGAACTTGAAATTCACCTCAACCAAGGTAGATCATGAGTGGTGGAATGAATTTCGTAGTTGTAGGACTACCCAAACTGAACCACTGCATTAGGTTGGATTAACTCCGGTGCATGCATGCGTGGCCATAAAATGAGCAGTAAACATTACATTAATTGCTGAGTTTCTTTTTAATCCTTGCATGCAGAGACTTAATGTGCCTCAAAATCAAAACAAACGATGGAGAGAAATAAAAACGAGACAAAACATTTATTTTAAAGAAAATCCCTTTGAATCCAATGGGAGGGAGTATCCTTTACTTAATGGTCTGATTGACGACCAATTTATGTATCTTTATCCATGAGAAGAACTTCCAGGAAGAAACAAACCATCACATATTATATCATGAAAAATTCTCGTAACATTGTCAGCACTGATGCGAAGAGTCAGATATATGATAATATGGAAAGCTGAACATGGGTAAAAAGAAAGAAGGGAAAGCAACACTAGAATGCCAATAAACTACTTTTAATTCAGAATAATGTAAACACCCTTTATGCACATGAAACCATTTTTGCTAGGCTTTCTCCTACCACCAGATCTAGTCGTAGACCACCCACATTTACACCCATGTGTGTCTCATAAAGTTAGCTAGTAGACAGTATCCATCGTAAATGGTACACCTACCGAACGTATTGTGACAATATGTAAGATCACACCTAGTAATCATATTTTATTTGTAGCTTTTCTACATGATCATATTTATTTATGTACAAATATAAAGAAATTTCAAAAACTTACACGGTAAGACTGTAGGCTCATTGAAATGTTTTTTTTTCTGATAATTTGCCTTAGGATATCTTTGTATAAATAGTTCTACGTGATCATACTCAAAATGATAAATCAGTTCATGATGATATATAGTTGGATATATTTGTACTGTATGTACCTGGAGAGGCTCTGGATTGTGATGGATGAAGAAGTCGCCCCACACCGATGGCTCGAAGCTACATACCCTCCTCTCAGGGGCGGCCGTGGCACCAGATGCCATTGGGATTGTGTGTCGTGTGCGGTAGTGCAGGCGCTCGCTTGAATATGGTGTTAGAGTTGCTATTGCTACGTTGGTACGATGGAGAAGAATGCATGAATGACTAGCTATTACCACCGGGCTTTATATACACATGTAGATCATGCAAAGCCAGAGGCCAGAGCTATACAAGTTTAGCAAGAGTCATCTGTTTACTTATTCTTTCTTTGAGAATGGTCCACATACCCATCCATTCATGTTAATCCATCACACGCAGCCAAAACGGTATACAACTTGGCCATTTTTTTGTGTGTATTGGACGCTAGAAGGTATGTACCCAATACCGGATGAAACAGTAATGATAACTGCTCCGGATGATCGACCCACCCACATGCAGGATGAGGTGCCATGTTTTGTCCGGCTCCATGAATCGGTGGAGAGTCCCAGGCACCACAACATCTTCTTAATAATATAATGGTGATGCCCCTTGCGTGCATGCTACAGTTGCATGCATGAACAGCATGCAAACCACGTGCACGAATTAATAGTTTTATTACTGCTGGACAGTACAACAGTAGTATATCCTTGCTGGTTGGCTTCGCTGATTGATTAACTACTCCCATGCATGCATGCATTGCACGCTGTACTCTAATGAAGTTTGGCATCAAATGATTCTATCGGAAAAGAATCACGATCTGATCCCATTTTGGCAACGCCCTATGAGGCATCAATATTGGTTCCATATTGCTGGTACAAACTAACATGCTTTGTACGTGCATCGTCCCATGTTGCGGGTATAGATATCTGAGGTGGAGTCTCCAATATTGATGCCTCATGCACACTGCAATTAGTTAGTAACATCTGCATTACCAACTCGTGGACCTCATCTTCTATCACCGACTCGAGATGGACATCACGTACGACAAGGGTCAGTAAGCATAAGCTAGGGTCCTGACCAGGGAGGGCCAAACTGAAAATAACCTGTTGTCGCTGTTTAAATCACACGCACGTAATTCTCGCTTAAATTTGGAGTGTCACAAACTATTAATGACACAGTGTACTAGAAGATATAAATGAAAACAATTTTACCCGACCGGCCCTATGAGCACCTTCAACGACAAGAAGGCTGAAATAAATCAAAAAAATGCCAACACCCATGGGAAAAGGAAAAAAACATGAAGAATAATTTTAAAACATTTTTAATACCTGACGAATTGTTTTGAAGTATGTGATGTATATCTTTTTTCAAAATTCACAATGAATAATTTTGAAATACATGATGAAGATTTTGTAAAAACACTACGTACTATTTTGAATACACGGTGATCATTTTTCGAATATGAAACGACCATGTTTTATTGTAACACCATGTACAATTATTTTATACACAACGAACAATTTTGAATGCATGATTTTTTTTAAATACACATTGAACATTTGTTAAATACACCCTGCAAATATATGATTAAAATTTTTTATGAAACACTATGAACATGTTTTGTACCCTATGAAAATAACTTCAAGAAAAATAAAAATAAAAAGAAAATAAAATGGAATAGAAGAAGAAAATAAACTAAAATAGCAAAGAAAAAAGAAATGGAACAACCTATGTACTAGACTGGTTGAGTAGAGCACGTAAAAGAACACCCAACAAACTCAACATAAAGTGTGAACTGAGCGATACCTTGTGGTGGAACCAAGTCATAGACTTGGCACTGTAGTCGCATTTTCTATATTTATTTCAGACTTTTTGGTCTTGTTAGTTCAATGGCAGGAAACGATCCCATCGACTACGAAGATGTCTATAGTGACTTCGTCAATCTCAAGATATTGTGCTGGCCCAGTATTTCGAGGTGCTCACGTATATAGGGTGTGCTTGTGTGCGTTCATAGAAGTGAGTGTATGTATGTGTATTTAGGCATATACATTGTACTGTGTTAAAAAAATCTCAATATAAAGTGAGGGAACGTAAGGAAAGAAGAAAATCGCTTAATGGATCAGAGCTCATGAGCAGGCGCATGTAGACAACTTCATATATCTCGCGTGTAGGTTTTGCCTAGTGGGCGCCACTATGTCTCGCTTGACGCGACACACAACAACCTCTCACCTCAAGTGGCTGAAAGAAAATGGGACAACCCAGAGAGCGGGAGGTCACAGGCCTTAAAGTGCTCTTTTTTTTCTCGTTTTCACATTTTGTTTTCTTTTCTTCCTTTACTTTTTACTTTAATTTATAGTTCGAAATATTCTAAATAGATATATTACAAAAGTAATTTATATAATATTTATGTTAAACATGCATTTGCAAAGTATTGAAAGTGTAGAGAAAAATGTTTCACATATATACGAAAATCTACGATGTGCACGAAAACAAAACAGATACCAAAACATATATTTTAACAAAAATCATATACTAAAATGGTTTGGTTTATACCAAAAATGTACAGTGTGTATGAAAACAATAGACATCAAAACATATTTTGAAAAAAACATGCTAGTCATGTATTCAGAAAATATTAAAGATGTATTTAAAATGTTAAAAAGGTGTATACACAAATGTTTGGATGTATTAGAAAACGGTAAGATGTGTATGAAAAAAATAGACAAAAATATATTTAGATAAATGTAGTCATGTATGTGAAATTTTTAAAACTTTATAAAAAATGTTTCAGATGTACCAAAAATATACAGGGCGTACAGCAAACATAGATGTCAAAACATATATTACAAAAAGATGTTCATTAAGCATTTGAAGATTATTAAATATGTAGTTTTTGACATATACGAAAAACATCAATGTGCAATAAAAATTGAGACATTAAAAAAAAGAACATATAACAAGACAGAAAAACAAACAAAACCTAAATTGAAGAGAAAAATAAAAATTGCAAAAGAGAAAACTTACAAAGAAAACCGAGACATCCATCAAAGAAAAAAAACCAAAAAACAGTGAAAAAAGAAGAAAAAACTAAATCAGTGAAAACCGATGAAAAAAGAAAAGAAAACTGAAATAGAAGAAATCAAATGAAACCAGAGTAGAGCAAACTCCACGACACGAACAAGTATAGGTAATTGGCCGGAGCATATGTGCGCATGCGTTGAGGCAAGATGGATGCTATACACGCTATAAGCGTATCATTTGCGCCGCCTCGTGTTCTAGAGAGGAGAACCCTAGTTCGCGAATCCTATATCTCGCTTATAGCGTGTATATCTTCCATGCGATTGTAGCATTTTGTTCCCCGTTGTAAACTGGGCGGGACAGTTTCTTTTTTTAATCGTTGGCTCATGTTCGATCGCTCCCTCGACCGCTCTCTGTAGCTGTAGGTTCGTTCAACTTGTTTTTTCCTTGCATTTTTCGTTTCTTTTTGCTTTTTCTTTCTGTTTCCTTTGTTTCTTACGGGTTTCTATTCCCTTTTTCTAATCACTAGTTTTTTCTTCTGTTTTTTTCCTGGTTTTCACTATTTTTCCTTTTTCTTCTTTTTTAATGATTTGTTGACTTCTTTTTTCCTTTCCTGGTTTTGTTTTGAGTTTATTTTCTGTTTTTTGTTCTCTTGTGTTTTTATTTTCAATTACTTTCTCTCATTAAGTTTTGCTTTGGCTTTCAATGATTTTGTTCATTTCTTTCATGGTTTCCGTTGGTTATATTTTCTTTATTTGTTTCATTCTTCGTTTTCATTGTTTTTTGCTTTTCTTATAACTTTCTTCTTTTCTGTTTCTTTCTTGGGTGTCATCGGTTTACTTCGTTTTTCTTTGCTTCCATCATTAGTTTCTTTGGTTTCCATCGGTTTTATTTGTTTTTGATTTTTTTTCTTCAACACATGTGTCCATT